ATAGGAATTTATGTGATTTTTGATACAATCAATCACAATCAAGGAAATGAATTAAAACCAATAGTATTAGTTTAGTTGTCTATCTGTTATCAGTCAGTCAATGACAAATTGCGTCTAAGTAATAAAGTTTTTTTATACGCAGATTCTCTATTTTAATTCATATTTCCAGCAATTTTTATTGAATTTATTCATGACTTGACATTTTGTCTTGCCAAAGTGATGTCATGGCTTGAGGATAACATCATGACACTCAACATAGAAAAAACAAAATATATCTGCTTCAGCAAGACAAAAATCTCCAATTAATATCAGGATTCATACATATCCATGCAATCGTGTGATAACCAAAGTTGACTCTGTATGTATGTGTAAGGAACTTACACGCGTCCAGCATATAAAATACCTCGGTGTCTATATATATGAGAATGTAAAATGGGACATACACATCGATCAAGTTGCAGCTAGAGTTAGAAAGTTTATCTATATATCTTTAAATCGTTGAGAACTGTAGCAGCTCGGGTACTGGTAATCCGCACATACAGAGCCTGATGCGAGTCTCTCATTAGCTACAACATCTGTGTCTGGGGAGGAGCATCCAAAACAAAGTAGGTCTGGAACGCTCACAAAGGGCTGTCCTGGAAGTGTCGATATTTCTACCATTCAGACACGCCACTTCTGATACCTATTATAGGTCCGAGGTGCTCAGTGTTCGTAAACGGTTCCTGTATCTGTGCCTGCGAAGATACCACAAACATTTAGTCCCGTTCTTGACAGATACTAAAAACAAGAGAGTGTGTACAGTACCAGTTCCAACAGTGAAAAGTGCTTTTGCACGAAAACAATTTTATAAGATATCTCCTTGAGTGTACACCAAACTTTTGAAGACTAACAAAAATATTTAAAAACGTCAATAATTATGCTATAAAGAAAATAATCCTAGATTGGCTAAAAAGACTAGAATACAATGAAGTGGAACAATTACTAAATATATTACATTTATAGAATAAAAGCGATCAGACCCGTCTTTCCCAGTGGGCACTTAGGGCAAGTGCCCGTGGCCCCGCGATCGATAGGGGGCCCCCCTCAGATCAAATACAGAGTCCCTAGTTCCTGTTAAATCACCAAACGGAAGTCATAGGGGCCCCATTATCCTAATATGCCCAGGGCCTCCAATAGGTCAAAGACGGCACTGAAAACGATAGAACAAATACACATACGCTACACAACACGCACGCAGATACATATACATATACATACACACAAACACACACACACACGCACACGCACACACACACACACACACACACACACACACACACACACACACACACACACACACACACCTGTTAATGCTATACCTAGGTATTTTTATTTAGTATTTTTAAATTATTGTAGTTTTAAAGTACATATATCAACCGCAACTACAATACTTTGTAAACATAACAATAGTCGAGAGAGCACTGTCTTCTGGTCCTCAGGGTAACCTTTTCCAGAGGGCAGGGTTCACATTATCATGTACCAAAATGTAAAGTGGTTCCAATAAATTATTATTATTAAATTATTAATTAATGGACAGGCCAAGAGTTTCTATTAGGTACTTACTTACAAAGTAAACTGTAATATTGTGATAACCTAGTAAGACTACAGTACTTAAGATTAATTTATAATATAAATAAATATGCTGCGAGTACCCCTTTCTCATTATTTTTGTGACAAATGAGGAGTTACTTAATAAAAATTTAAAAACATTTTATTCACAGTATCTACTTAAACAATAAGAAAAAACCCACTTGCACTAAAGTTTTAAATCAAATTTAATAGCTAATAATGCAATGTTTAAACCCCATTCTATCTCTGTTTGACTTTAAACAATTGACAAAGATGTAGAAATGTTTTAACAGGATTAAGCCTTAATTTAAATTGAGAATGTTGGTGCAAGTGGCCCTAAGTTTGATAGCAACGATATTAGCCTTCAAAATAAAATAAATTTTAATTATGTAACAGACAACATTCAGTACAGTTCCACGTCACTTTAAAAAATCAATGTTAATTAACAAATATCAATTATTTAAATAATCACAATTTTGTGCGTGCTACTAAGCACATGGCTTATTTGATAGATACATTCATGATTTTTTGGAAATATAAGCAAAGCGAGAACAAAGAATTTTATTTTATTAGAAAGTTTGCATTTTTTTAAGGTTCAGGAATACCGCTATCCACAAAATATGACACACCACTGCGCCTGTTCAACAAGATCATGTATGTGGCTGTAAATTTAGATGAAGAGCCAATCATTGGGTGACCTAGTTAAGCAAATATTGTTGATTTTTTAAACATTTATTTAAGTTTACATAGCAGTATTTTAAGGAGGCGTACCTAATAATATAATATTAGAATTTATCACAAAACTTGACATGTAGCTTTCAGTAATTCAGTCTGGTAGATTCAATTAACGCCAACGGCACCAATACTTTACCGTATTGGTGCCACTACTTTACAAGAGTTATAAAAATAATATAAAAAATGCACTAATAGGCTCCTTAATATAATATCATCTCGCCTCACCTAAAATATAATTACATTGATACTACGTAAAAACAAAAGTTTATACTTAACCATTTATATAATCATCTTAATCTAAGCAAGCATAGGCAAGTTGCGCTCGGCGGAGTTCAAGATTATTGCACAGTTAAAGTTTACGTACTGAAGTTAAGAATCACATTATCATACACTCTGTTTGACACACATACAATTACGAAATTATATCTAACAGTTACCGTTAGGTATATAACTTCCTTGATTAGTACCTATTCTCCTATTCTCTAACAGAAGAATTTCATTGGCGTTCAAACTCAAAAAGTTCCAATTTTAACCAATAGCTGGCCAATATATTTTAATAATTTTGACATGACAATAGTCGTAAAAACTTTGCTGCGACCGTGTCGTGTACTGAAATGATACTTTAATTAGACAAATAATGTTATCAGGCGTTTATAAATTCATTATTAAGGTGTTTACATATAAACCTATTTATCGTGGGAAAACAACATTGGGAAGCAATTGGGAAACAACAAGCTACAATCTAAAATGAAATAGATTTCGTGCTATATTTCTGGGTTTGTAAGATCAGCAGATCATCTTTATTTACTGTTTGTGTTCAATTTATTTTTTAACAGACGAAAAAAACGGAGGCGGTGTCAACGCGTATGTTTGTTTTTTTTCTGTATGATCATGCATAACTTTTACAGAGTAGCCGGATTTTGATAATATTTTTTTTATTGGAAAGGGAAGTAGGTCGAAGTTTGTCCCATATAAATTTAGAAAAAAAATCCAATCCTAAGGGTATGAAAACACAAAACAGGGGATGATTAATTGTAATGTATGACCACACGTAACTTTTTACAGCTTAGTATGATTTTGATAATTCCTTTTTAATTAGAAAGGGTACCCCGAAGTTGGTCCCATATGAATTCGAACAGTACTGAATGTTGTCTGTTACATAATTAAAATTTATTTTATTTTGAAGGCTAATATCGTTGCTATCAAACTTAGGGCCACTTGCACCAACATTCTCAATTTAAATTAAGGCTTAATCCTGTTAAAACATTTTTACATCTTTGTCAATTGTTTAAAGTCAAACAGAGATAGAATGGGGTTTAAACATTGCATTATTAGCTATTAAATTTGATTTAAAACTTTAGTGCAAGTGGGTTTTTCTTATTGTTTAAGTAGATACTGTGAATAAAATGTTTTTAAATTTTTATTAAGTAACTCCTCATTTGTCACAAAAATAATGAGAAAGGGGTACTCGCAGCATATTTATTTATATTATAAATCAACAGGAGTATGAAAACAGTGGATGATTGTTCACTCACAGATTTTGATGCCGAGTTGTATATTACATAAATTATAGCCATAAAAAATGGCATATAAAAACTTGTTAAAAGTTATAAACCGTTTTTATCTTTAGTGAAATTAATATTTAGGGTCGGTGTCAGTGCCAGGCTAACCCAAGTAGTAAATGGGAACTCAGATCTATCAGGCCTAAAAAGCTTTCAAATATAAAATTCGTAAATCGTCCATAAAAACTATACCTAATTACTTTTCATTCTAATATTGCAATTAGGCATACAGCGGTAAGGTAAGTACTTACAATTATTTAGAAATCTTGAGCTTTATAATTTTTCATCTTAAAATATTCAAAATTTCTGTCATTAAGTATTTTGTTTGATCTCACTAATTAAGTATATGGCATTAGTATTTAGATTATTAGATCATTAGATCCGTTGCTCTGAATAAGATAAGTATTGTAATTGAATTAAGTACTTATTGTTATTTTAATTTTAAGTGCTACACTGTTTTTTAACTTGAAAATATTCAACTGTTTCCTAGGTAGGTTCAGTCTAGAATCGAAACAGCACCTTTCGATATCTACAAACCGCAACACTACTCTATGCTTATTTCTTTCAATTAACTCGATAATCGGTTGGTTGACAATAAATGGAAATCCAAAATACATTTCTATTTCTGTAATAAATTAAGTATTTTGGTTAGATTTTTCTAAGCTTCATTTTTAATTTCACGACTAGCGATTAGTACGATGACAGCAATTACACCTTCTGATCCAAACTTTTCAGTCTGTTTTCTGGCGCCCACCAATATTGTACAATTTTTTTTACTGTGGACAAAGACTTAAAAACCTTTGATAGTTTGCAATAAAATAATGAAATAAGTATTTGACTAAGGTTTTATTAGTTTTTTACAAGAAAGTGTTTTTTTTTATTAAGAATACATACCTACTATAATTGATTAATCTCACTTGTAGTTACTGTTGGTAATTGAACAAGCTTGCTAAATGCTTTATGTTAAATTATAATTTATTACGTAAAAGTAATATATTAAATAATTTTAATGAACTAATTAACAAAAAAAATTGCAGTGCAAACTTTGCATTGACGATAAGTTACTCGTATACATAATATAGATATATAACTCACCCTGGGTTTTCCTTTAGGTTTTTCTGTCTCATGAGAGCGGTTCCTTTTCTTGATAACTCCCATTTTCACTCAATATTCAAAATCACCTGGTTAACATTCATTTGTTACACGTAAAATTCTCACTTTAAAATTAACATAAAATTCAAACACATGCATTGCGAACTGGTTATTTACACCCTTCGATATTTAAATTATTCAAACACTAGAGCACAGCACAGATTAAATCCAAAATTTTGGCGCGTAATGTTTACAGTATCGCGCAGACTTCGGTGCCTTTTTTCCTCGCGTTGTAACGCGCGACCCGTGCGTTCCGACCGGGATGTGCCATAGAGTGCGCTCTGCTCCCGCCTATCTCGCCTCCCACGCCAAGAGCACCCTTTAATTAAACGACTACGCTGTATTTACATGCAAATAAATATTGGCACCTAACACCCGATTAATGACCTTAATTACAACATATCTTGTTCTTGTACGCAAGAGAGGAAGGAAACAATTTTCCTGTATGTCCTAAACCCTTGTTTAAATTATTTCTCTAATTGTTTCAGATCCTTAAAAAATTTGAAGTTTGTAATCGCAATGGATGTGATCAAAATGGATAATTTCAGGTTTTCTTTTAGGGAAGGCACAAAAGGTTCAGGTTGTCCTAAACATCCACTTAACCATACTAGACTCGCATGGTGGCCCATTCTGCTTAACCTTTTCTTAAGGCAAATCTGCAATGCGATTCTGTAAGAACAAACTCGTCACCGTATTCGCAGGTGTGATTTAATATTTATTGGAACGAAGTTCCTTACGGCAGGCTTGGAGGGGATAGGGATTTTGCTGCGCGACCGAACTGAAAAAAATGTGATAGTAAAACCGTAAGAACAAATCCGTGGAAAAAAGTGCGTGGAATAAAACCGTTAAATGAGACGTGCACAGGCGCGACAGTCGCATACACAAGCGAGTTTGCAATTTGTGTCGATTCTACATTAGCCGAAGGAGCTTCGTTCCTACCTGGTGTCCCACGACACCAAATCATTTTTTTGAAACTAGCGGCCGCTCGCGACATCGTCCGCGTTAACTTTAGTTTTTTGAGAATTCTACAGGAACCTTACATTTTCTGGGATAAAAAAAATGTATGTGTCAGCTCCAACGCACGACTGGAGTTTACTCCTTAAGTTCGATAGTCTAACCAGACGCAAAAAGAGTTTATTTAACTTAAAAAAGATTGATACTGTATGAAAGGGTAAATTAACAAATTAATGAAAATAATATACATATATAAATATATATTTATTCATTTCATATACATTTATTATAACTAATCGACGAAATTAAACTTTTTACAATAGTCAATTTCAGATGTGCATAAATATATCATTAGGAATGTTGATAAATTATGTAATTATTATTATCAGACTATTATTATTTTTTTAAATATTAATTAAATCAACAGTGTCTGCATTATTAATTACAGTGACAAGTGGTTTATGCTAACTAAAATAAGACACATGGACGTTCGTAGATACGTGGTTCACGAATCTTGAAAATACCGCATCAATGGTTGTACCATACCTCGTTGTCCCCATTGCTCTATCAGAAACAATATCTAAATTCAGTTCAGATTTTAAAAAATTTATTAATGTCAATCCGTCGTCTTTGTTTTGTCTCATCTTTTGTCAAAGTTGCGCGACATAGGATGCGCACCAAAAACGTAACGAGGTCATTCATCGATAGATTTTACTCCTCACATTTTTCTCATACCGGGCCCCTTATATATGCAAATCGATTCTTAAGGAGTAAACTCCAAAAAGTATTCTTTGTCTTAATTCAAGTCATAAACTATATGCGTGCCAAATTTCATTCGAATTCGTTCAGTACTTTTTGCGTGATTGAGTAACAAGCTTTCACATTTATTAAATTAGTAGGATTCGTATTCTAATTTCAAATAACAACGCGTACTCCGCGGGGAAACAGGATAACAATCATTGCAAAGGAAGGAAATATTTATAAAAAAAGGAAAATATAATTTACGGGCGATTGGAGGTCGGTGAGGATGAAAAACGGTTTATCGCGATTAGCGGGAAAACTACAACGCCTATCGAATAAAATTCAAAGGCAAAGTTATAGGCAATTTAGTATAACATCTACAACTTGTGTATTAATACTTTTTTCACATCACCTAAATATATCTGCGCAACATTAAAATAATTCACTGTTTGAATTTTTATCCCACACACACTTTCTTTACGAAACTGAAAATTATTCCAAACACGCTCTTTCGATTCAAAATATTTATTTTACCTTATTTTCTTTTCCTTACTTTCGCAATTGTACTAAGAGCTGCAGCATTTAAGCACCTCCGTGCCTAAACTCGTGATAAAGGCCGTAAAATGTTCATACGAATGCGTTGTAAACAGAATGTGTTGCTCAACAGCATCGCCGCAAAAATGGACGATTCGTATGCAGTGGCGATGGGTGCAGACACTAACCGCTCACGTTGATAGTAATTAGCTATAAGCTCCATTAGCTAGACCATTTAATCCGGTGATCGTAACGACTCTGTTTACTTAGCTGTTTATTCGGTACGTTTAAGGACGATTCAGACCGAATGCTTGAACGTAGCGTATACGTGATTCGATGTCGTAAGAACATAGTAAAAAAAAAGGCTCCGTGAGTCTTACGGTGTTACGGCGGATTTTTTAAATTCTCGGATAAGACTTATCTGCGGAAAGAAATTACCATTTATCCAATCAAAACGAAATGTCATCTGCAACATTAAAAAAAATATGTTAATGACAGATCAAGTTTGTCGAATAAGTTATAGGATTTAAATATCTAAGCAAGTTACTTTCTTAACGAATAAGGATAATTTTTTGAGATTTTCAGATTGTTTTGCAGTTGTGATGGAATGCAAAAGAACAAAAAAAGTACCTTACAACCTTTACTAAAAACTTTGTCATTTATATACGGGCTGGAATAGACTGCCAAAGGTAGACAATCTAAGTAACACGTTAACAAGATAGTCTTATTGTACCGAATCGATTTCAGAGTACTATCAGGGCACAATCTACCGAACTCAAAATATATTTAATCTTTTATTAACTACTAGTGGCCCGCCCTCGCTTCGCTTCGGTGTAGAGCTGAAGTGTAGACTATAGTTATTGTTCTCAGGCCTGTATTATACACAATGACATTCTTCTTATACCTACCGCCGCCGCGACCCGTGTCGAGCGCGGCAACCGTTACACAAAAATAATCCTTATAGCATGATTCAGTATTCACGTGCGACGGCGCGATGACTTATTTCATGTATAAGTTTGGTGTTTCTATACCGATTTCTATGATTCTTTTTTATTGAATAGGTAATAATGTTAACTTTTTTAAATTAGGGATGAGTGAGAGTATTATAAACGTAAGAGTAAACAAATATAATCAGAATGCTCCGAACTGCTAAGCTATCAGGAGTTACACGTGTTATTGTCAGTCAACCATAAAAGATAGACATATGCTGTTCCGGGATATTTTTTAGACAATTTTATGTAGAATATTTCCGTCATACATGATTTCTATGTAACTTCAACCATTAAGGCTGCACACGCAACGGAAGCTAAAAAAATGGAGTAACTTCTCCCGTTTTCCCAACATTTCCCTTCACTACTCTGCTCCTATTGACTGTAGCGTGATGAAAAGTATACTATAACCTACCCAGGAGTATGAAGAATAATTGTACCAAGTTTCGTTAAAATCCATCGAGTAGTTTTTGTTTCTATAAGGAACATACACACAGACAGACAGACAGACAAAAATTTTACTGATTGCATTTTTGGCATCAGTATCGATCACTAATCACCCCCTGATAGTTATTCTGAAGATATATTTCATGTACAGAATTGACTTCTCTACAGATTTATTATAAGTATAGATATAGATGAATGACGACCTCCGTGGCCGAGTGGTTTGTACGCCGGGTTTCAAGGTGTCGCCGACTCGAGAGGTTCGAATCCCGGTGGGGGCAGATGTTTGTGTGATGAATACGAGCATTTGTACTCCACTCATGGATGTTTGATATGTATTTCTATAAAAATAATACTTATATATGTACAGTATATGTATTCTATCCGTTACCCTAGCATCCCATAACACAAGCCTTACAGTGCTTACTTTGGATCTAGGCTAATTGGTGTGAGTGTTGGAAATATTTATTTATTATCATTTAATTGAACAATAAAGTTCACAAGAAAATAAAACGTCTGCTTGTGTAGTTCAGGAGTTCACAAGTGTGAAAGAACATCGGATCAACGAGGACGCTATTAGAAGCCTATGCGAGATCTACTAGCCTACTGTGGAAGGAGCTGGATTACCCGTGTTAGCCTAACCAATCATCTTTACACGCACAATGGACTAAGTAAGCACAGAACGGTCTACATGCGATAATGAATGACCAAAATGTCAATATAACACAAGCTTTAGAAATTACCCCAAGTACACGAGGAAATGCTGAATAAAAGAAGGGACAGCAAAATTTTGCAAATAAAATTGTTTTTGAGAAAAAAAATCGGCGCTAATTGGCCGCTACGACTTATGATTTGGCGATGAGCGCAGCGAATATAACGTGTCCCAAAAATAATCTGAAGCGAACAGCCCATAGCTGTGATAGAGCATCTATAAAATTATTCTAATGACCTCAATGAATTAATTAAGTAATTTTGAGTAAGTTGTAGGATTCCGTAGTCCTTATATATTTGCTAAATTTCAATTTAACTCAACTGGTAGTGTCTATTGCAATCTGTCCTGGACAACCCAGGACAGATTGCAATAGACACTACCATAATAACAATATGACGCGTTAAATGAGCTTTTAATGATTGTCTGCCTCTATAAATGAAATGCCTTATGTGCACTTAGCATCTATAATACCAGTTTTATTGTGGTTATAATATAAACAACACCTACATCGGGAAAGGCTAGAAGTGAAAAACAAAATTAGTTTTCATGAAAATTAATATTAAATTTCTGTAAATAAAAGGGCTTAACGTAATATATACACATTTGTAAGATTGAACATAGAATCAGCACAAAAGATACCGATACTTGTTTACAAAACAAATACCCGTCAGCTTCCGTTTCTATATCGGAGTCGCTATCACTGCACATTTTTCTCAGTTAAAATTATTATATAACACAACAACAACAACAATTTAACAATTTGTGGTAAAAATCACGGAAAAAACCAACACCGATTTGTAGTTACATATTTAGTTCCGTAGGCAAAAGAAAGTAGCTAAGACCGAGTATATATCCAAGTTTTTTTGTATAATATTATTCATTGGAGAAGTCTCTTTGATTTTCAAATTATATAGTTAAAAAATCTTGCTTTTTTAGAAACTATTGATGTAGAAGTATTTGTTGCCATTTTGGCATTCCATATTTAAATGTTAATAATACTCAAGGGGACTTCTACACAACTTTCGCGCCCTTGGGCTTTAATAACTTAGTTTAAACTGAGAATGCTTGACAGATTATACATGCTCCAGATGCAGGTGGTGTATAGAATGTATAATTGGTGTATAGGATGCTGTTTACTACCAAAGATTTTTGTAAAATCCTTCGGAAAAAATATCACAATAGTGAATTATAACTTTAATATTGTAAGGTTATTGGTGGCTGTTCTTAGTTGTTTGTCCCCCATTTCACGTAAAAAATAAAAATATGCGAAAGCATAAATACATTATAAGTAAAAATAATCTTTCTCAGCATGGGATATACGAACTACTCGGAAGATCTCACGACGAAGGCTAAATGAGGCGTATCGAACATAGGGGAGAAGGAAGCACCTTAGCACAGGGGCAGATTTGTACATGTTGATTTCTGAACGTAACTTTATCTTAATCTAAGCCTCAACTACATTTAATATTGACAGCACTGGCTGCGACAAACGTCAAATAACAA